TATATAAACACACACACACATATATATATATATATATATATATATATATATATATATATATTATATATATATATATACATATATAATATATATATATATATATATATATATTCACATTGATGTGTGTATTGTACTGGTATGTGTATCTTGTATTTAGGCCGTTGTCGGGTTTTCTTTCTGCCAGTGTACAGTGTGTGCGCACTCATGGTATTCTTTCACTAATCCTGTGCTTCTATCGCATCTCCCCATTTGTAGGTGAGTGTAATGTACAGTGTGTGCACACATGGGTTTTTTTTTCAAAAGAACACCATTTCTAACATATCTTTCCACTTGTTGTAGGTGGGTGTAATTGGATCCGGGAACAAACTGACAGAGTTCACTCAAAGGGGGAAGCACGTGCACGAGAAAGCCGATGACTGATACGGCTGAGAGGCCATAATTTAGGTGCTCGTGCGATGGGCTTAGGGATGTGTATTTGTACTGTTGTAGCTAAGTATGATAGTCCAGTCAACACTGATACAGCATGAGAGGCGGTGACAGACCCAATATCTGAACACACACGGCTGAATGCACTCAGGTGTGTCGTATGCAGGCATAGGCGATGTACTTGTATACACGTGGTAGATGCTACACCCACAATGGCTTTGTCTTTGCATTGTTTTACTAAAACTATCGCAGATGCAGCTCAGCTTTGTACCACTTCCTCAGCTGCATACCTACACCCAGCCCTGCTGGCAAGCCTACGATTTAGGGTTCCAGGGTTGACCCATACTCCTCGCAAAGACCTCTTGGGTATTGTGTGGGTGGCTTTGTGCGGCATCCACGCATCATCTGTACAGTATAGATATGGGATGTATACAAAGGAGTCTTCTCTTGTTTAATATAGATATGCGGTGTACAAAGGAGTCTTCTCTAGGGGTGCTGGCAGCCACATTTAGAGACAGACTACACACAGGCCTGTTATTTCAGACTACACACAGGCCTGTTATTTCAAACCCGCGGTAGTTGGTAACACGACACTGGGCGAAAGGCTCAGCAGGGCAGCTCTATTGCACTCAGAACTGTAAACAAACCTTACACAGGCTGAAGTAAAATGTCGGAAGGCATTGCTATGATACGCTGTGCACGGGCGTGACCTTTAATTCAGTGTGTTTGGATTTTGACCAGATGTCATTTCGATTAGCCTGGCACGATGCAGGATTACATACAACACACACGCTTTATTTAATATTAGGACTTTGCCTAAATGTCTGTAAAACCTCATCTTCCCGTCTGTACTGAATTCTGTACAACTGCCGTCTTTCTGTTTGCCATCCTTGTGTACATGCATTATTTGATAATGGGCCTCTTGTGTAAATGCTTTATTCGATAATGGGCCTTTGCCTAAACGTCCGTAGCACCTTATCCTCCTTAGCCATAGTACCCTCAGCCCTACTACCACCCTCCTTCTGTTTGCCATCCTTGTGTGTGTGTGCAGCTGCCTTGCGCTCGTCCATGTCCTTGAACATGCGTGCCTTAGCCACATTGTCCATGTAGAAGTTGTTTGCTTTGGTTGCTTGGCGCATTTCGAGTTCCAATCGCTTCTCCCGTACGGCGTTCTCGTACGCTGGTGGGTAAGACGTTTAACGGGGTAAGGTGAGAACGGATATAGTGAGGAACAAAGCGTTTAGAGCATTGCGATGAGACCTTATACAACACAAGGATGGACAACCCGTTTGAACGGGCTACCATGAGAACGTATAGAGTGATAGACAACGCGTTTAATTCGGTGCGATGGAGCTGAGTGGATGAACCCAATGTCACAGAGCGCACGACGCCGGACGCCAATGAGAATGGGCCAACAAAGTAGTACGGTTACAAGGCCTGTAGTATGTGATCAGACTATCATCACAGCCAGCAGCAGTAACGCCGCAGTTTGCAAAACTAAGTGAGGTGATACGATACAAGTAGCAATGGCAGGACAATGAACAACACCACACTATACAATGCGCATATACAACAGATACAAATATCTGTACTAAAAGTCTATCAATGTGCAACCACAGACACACTATACGAATCTGTACACATGCACACAACAAAACAAAAAAGTATGCACAAGGTCCTGTCTATGTGCAAACCACATACACTCCATACGAATCTGTACACATGCAGACAACAGATACAAACATATGCACCAGAAGCCCAGTCTAACTGCAACCACAGGCACAAGATGGCCCCGAGATACATCAACCCTCCGCCTCACACCACATACTCTTGCGTTCCGTGAGATGGTGCCATTTAAACTTGGGCAGGTACTTGACATTCCACAGGTCGTCGTAGTGGAAGTTGTTCTTCTTCCCCCCCACACGCTGATTGTTCAGTACCTCCGCCGCCAGCTTGGCGTGCGCCTTGTTCTCGTACTCTACCCACCCCTCAACAAACATCTTCTTTCGTTTGCCCGTGGCTTTGACTCTGTATTTCCGTTTGCTTGCGTCTGCAAAGGCGCAGGGCGGATGGGTCACGTGGTGGTACAATAATTTAAAACGGGGAACGTAAAGGAAGACGAGTGCGGAGTGTCTGGTATCATACCCACAGTGGAGTGGTCTCTGCTACAACCCCGTGCCTACCTATCAATTAACGGTGTCTTGCTTTTAAACGTTTATACTTGCTACTGAGTGGGCCTGCCCCCATCTTCAGCACTCAACAAACTCTTGTGCACGGTATTCACGGCGCTTAGCCTTATTGACTATGCCTACTGATAACCACACATGGCTTTATACATCTGATTTACCCACCAATCTACACGAGGCTTCCTATTGATACTGCACACACACATATCTTCTTACTTACGCTACGCATATATACACACAAATATAGCTTCTTACTTACGCTACACATATATACACACACACACACACATAGCTTCTTACTTCCGCTACGCATATATACACACATACATATCTTCATTCATATGCTACGCATATACACACACACACATAGCTTCTTACTTACGCTACGCATATATACACACATACATAGCTTCATACATA